CCTGCGTGTTGGAATTTTCCGCGTGAACTCCTGAATCACCAACTTTGTAGCTTCTGGTAATGGAAATGGATGGAGTGTATCGCTGACTCTGACTGCCTGAATAGCGGGACGGGGTGCGCTCACTGCGGTCTACCACTCCGTCTACACCCTTTCCCTTGACATGCCGCTTCAGATCCTTCATCTCTGTCGCCATTCGCCGGATGACAGCGTCTTGGTCCCTCAACTTACTTTCCAGACGTCTGGCGTGTGAGTCTCTCTGTCGGCGAGCTCGTTCCTTCAAGACTTCCCGCAAATCCTCTGAGTGAGCGGAATATGAATACCTCGCCGTCATCACCGGACGCGATGGCTGGTAGGTGCTATCCTGCATGCTGGAATTTTTCACGTGAACTCCTGAATCACCAACTTTGTAGCTTCTGGTAATGGAAATGGATGGAGTGTATCGCTGACTCTGACTGCCTGAACGGCGGGACGGGGTGCGCTCACTGCGGTCTACCACTCCGTCTACACCCTTTCCCTTGACATGCCGCTTCAGATCCTTCATCTCCGTCGCCATTCGCCGGATAACAGCGTCTTGGTCCCTCAACTTACTTTCCAGACGTCTGGCGTGTGAGTCTCTCCTCCACCGATGACCGTCTGGACTTCGTGAATATCCATGACTTCTTCCGCGCTTATCCCGCGCGTCTCCTGACTGTCCTCCGGTGGGTGTTCCCAAGTCCGCCATTGGATGGATGGCGGGAGGTCCTTCTCTCCTTCAGGTGAACTCCGGGGTGGCTCCGTCTATGGCAAACAATGGAAACTCGTCGTTGTTAGCCATGGACGGCGATCAGATGAGCCTGGAAGACAAGGTTTTGTCTGTCAAGCTTTCCCACAGACGGCACCAATTGTACGGGGAGCAAATATCTTGGCAAACCCGTACTCATTTCTTCCGAGCTCCGTTTATATCCGATCACCTGCGAGCAAATAACGGTGAGCTACCCGGCGGTGTGTGGCCGGAAAAACCCTTCAACGATCAAGTTAGCACACACCTTAGGATAGAGAGAGAGAGATGAGTGTTTGAGTGTAGGAATTTCCTTACCAAATGTTCTACTTTCGTATGGGGGGCGCAGACATGCTTATATACCTTCTGCGCCCCAAATCTACTCCCAGTGCCCTTTCAACACGTGGCACTGCTATCCCATCTGTCAGCATACACCTTGCTGAGCTCTACCTAACCCAACTGCCCATCCACTCTTCTGGGAGCTTGGCAGTCGGGCAATACCATCTCGGCCATAATCTGCCATGCTGCGCTTCATGCCCAAGTACTCCAACAGCGAAGCTCAGGTGAGGACCGGACTCGGCGGAATCTAGGCAAAGTCGAGATCGGGGCAACTCACGCTTGTCTGCGGTCGACTTACCTGCCGAGCAAACGGGGTATCTCAGTCCAACATTGCCTTTCCTGGCGCTGGACTTTTCACCTGACCGGAGTCGTACCCACGGATCCTTGCAGCTCGGTCAATCCATGCGCTGCCTTAACCGAGCAGCTTCCTCCAAGGCCGGGCAATACAGCTCGACCCAACACCCGTTCGGCCCAAATCTGCACGGCGCAACTCTGTCTGACCCAAATCTGTCTGGCCCTTACCACGGCCCAATCCAGATCATAAATCTCCCTCTCAAATAATATTTAAAAAAAAAGGGAATTACAATATAATTGGAATAAAAAAAAATTATAAAAACATATGAGACACAAGTGATTCTGTTTCATGTTTATGTAAAAAAAATCTATCCCATGGGAATGTAATTCCACATTTAAAAAATTGGTGGTGTACTAACAATTTTTTTTTTTAAAAATGTTATCCATTCATATTTATTATTGTATTGTATGTTTAATTTTTATATCCATAACAAAATTGTGTTTATATTCTATATTATATAAAATGTGCACCTCTCTTGATATTTTTTTTTTTTTTGTTTTCCCATAATACCTATATCTAATAACTTCCTCATCTCATAATGTTTCATCAAATTATTCAAATTGCTAAATTTTTTTTATCATTCATCAAATCGTTCCTACATTATCAAATCATTCAAAGATTTAAGTGTAAAATTACAAACTTACCGTGTTTGCACCCATTGCTAGTATTTATCTATATTATCATATTAAGCATATACCAGAGTTAGTGGTAATGTCATAGATTTTTTTTTTTTTTTTTAAATTACCCTTTTATAACTGTTTTCAAATACACTGGATTTGTAATGGGTGAATTGAGACACTGGTCCTTGTATTTTGGTCCCCGCATCATTTTAGTTACTTTAATTTCAATTAGCCCAATTTTGACTATGAATTTATGATTTTGTTTCAATTTAATTCAATTGATTATAACTTCTAATATTTTTTTTAATGAAAAATATGCATATAAGTGGCATGTGTTATATTTTTTAAAGTAAAATTATAAATTTATTAAACTCAACAAGTTAAATTTTACTAATTTAGTGATTGTTTTTCGTCAAAAATACTAACGGCATTATCAATTAAATTAAATTAATACAAAATTTAAAATTAAAAGTCAAAATTGAACCAATTAAAAGTGGAGGGACTAAAATAATACAAGAAATAAAATATAGAGACCAATATAATTTACCCATTTATAATTACAAATCTGTAAATTGTAACTACAAATTTAAGGTAGACCCACATAGGTGTGCACATCCTCTAATCTGTATATTATATAAGGAAAATGAGATTTTTAGTGAGGAGTCTTGTGAGAGTTTCAATATCTCATACTAATTTTCTTAATTTTCTTAATTTTAAACAATTAAAAAAAATCTTCATTTGCTAGTTTTTATTTGATAATCTCACATCGGAAGAGAATGATTTCAAAGTCTTTGACAGTTTCTGTGTGGTGATAGAGACCCAGTACCCCACAACCCCACACAGTTTGTGCGGAAGAGGAAGGAAAAAAATGAGTTGTTTTACTCATATAAAATGAATCTGATACTCCCATCCCATTTAATATTATCCCATTTATTTGATAGTCCCACGTTGGGAGAAGAAAAAAAAAATGAGTTGTTTTATTTCTATAAAGTAAATCTTATACTCCCATCCCATTTAATATTGTAGCGTTGTGCATGTTTTAATTCAATATAGTTTAAATTTTAAAAGTTTTAATTAATTAATTTTGAACTAGTTGATTAAGCTAAATCATTTTTAATTTGATTGATTCGTTTGTTTAGTCGCGATTTTAGCGATTTTATCAAAATATATTGATTAGATTTGTTTGATTTGAAATCAACTAAAGATTAATCTGATTAAAGATTGAAAGACTGAAATTGCTTGATTAGAAATAAACTTTTCATCCAAATAATTATTAACTTTTATTTTATAATCCCACATTGGAAAAAGAAAAAAAAAGGAGTTTTTTCACTTATATAAAATAAATCTTAATAGTATAGTATTGTATATACTTTAATTCAAGACAGTTTAAATTTTAAAATTAAAATAACATTTAAAAGTTTTAATTAATTAATTTTTGTATAGATTGGTTGGTCATTTGGCTTAACCGATTAGGCTGAACCATTTTGGATTTGACCAATTCGCCGGATTAATTACGATTTCTCATACTGATTTTATTAATTTTAAACAATTAAGAAAATTAACGTTGACCAACTTTCATTTAACTATATAAAAATAAAACGCTAATTAATTTATGATTTATTTTATAATCCTACATCGGGAGAAGAAGAAAAAGTAAAGTTTGTTTTACTATCTATCTATCTATATATTATATAAGGGAAATCAGATTTGTAAGGAGAAACTTTCTAAGAGCTCCAAACCCCCATTTTAAGATTATTGAATTTTCTTAATTTTAAACAATTAAGAAAATTCTCATTGGCTAGCTTCCATTTACTTTTTATTTTACAATCTCACATCGGGAAAAGAAAAAAAAAATTGAATTGCTTCACTTACATGAAGTGAATCTTATATTCCCATTTATATAAGTAAAAAGAGATTTTTTACTGAAAAATCTTATGATCAATATTTCATACCAATTTTTTTGATTTTCTTCATTTTAAACAATTAAAAAAATTCCCATTCTATTTAACTTTTATTTTACAATCATACATAGAAGTTTTAATTTTAAAAATAATTTTGTATGAGTTTTGAAACTCTCATAATATCTCTCCTTACAATTATTCTTTTGTAAAATGTATAGATATATTGGTAATCTCAACGTCACTCTTACTACTCCTTAATACAAAAATTATGAGATAATTATCATAATTTTAAATTTATATTTAGAACTATGTCATGTTTTTAATTATTAATTATCAGTACAATAATTTTAATCTATTTATACTCTATGTCGTAATTTTAAATTTATATTTAAAACTTATAAATCATGGGGATAAATTATTATAATTTTAAATTTATATTGTGCCAATTTTAAATTTAAATTAATAGATTGCTTTCCATATTTAGTGACAATTTAAATTTTAATAAAATAAAATTTAAAAGTTTTAATTAATTAATTTTTGTGTAAATTGGTTGGTTTTTTGACCTAACTGATTAAGTTAAACCACTTTTTGTTTGAATGATTTGCTGGTTTAACTGTGATTTTAACGGTTTTATATGGTACGGTGATTCTTTCTTACTCATTAAGTTTTTAAAATTTCTTTAATTATTTCCCTTTTAAAAACCAATATGACAAATTTTTAAAATTCATAAATTTTTATTTTAAAATAGTGAAATATTAGAACTATGTCATGTTTTTAATTATTAATTATCAATATAATAATTTTAATCTATTTATACTCTATGTTATAGTAGAGGAATATCTGAAACAAAACCCTTAAACTTATATATAAAATTTTATTTACGAGAGATAAAATATTAAAAAATTAAATATAATTATTATATTTTTAATAAATAATATTTTATTTTATTTCATACATAACACGGTGACATGTGAGTGTATATATATATATATATATATATGAAAAGCAAGCAGTCCAAGGTATCAAATTGGACGAAGTAAATAGCATTTTAAAAGCCAAGTCTTTGTTTAGTCTTTGGCCCTAACTCCCCTCTCACGCCACCATGTCCAACTCCACTTTCCTAGCAGCAAACTTCCCTCAATCCAAAAACGCTAATCCTTATCCTCATCCTCATCCTCATCCTCATCTTGATGATCAAACTAGTTACAGTACTACATATGTAATGGACGGTTATGATCATTATCATCAAGATTTTGCACCATCAAAGTATCTTCCAGTACTGCTGGAGCTGGATCAACCTGAGGAACATGCCATTTCTAACTTCACTACCACTGCGTCTCTCTCACAGCACTCTACTGTCTTGCAAGAAAGGAGTAGTGGAAGTTCCTTCAATTCCATCAACAAAGTTCCAAGAAACCCAACTCACATGCAAGTGTTAGTGCCCTTGCTATTCATCTTTGTTATAGAAAATAAACTAGTTTTGCTAAAATTCTCACTTGATTTGATGAATGTGAGTATTTTGAGACAGAAAACACAGATTTGAGAACAGATAATCATTGGCCTTATTGTTGTTGTTGTTCTTCTCTCTCTCTATATATGTTTTAATACTAATCTTGTAGTTTGATCACATATATTATTATTGTGTGTAGAAAATGTAGAAGTGGATTGAAGAGAGTGAAGATGGATGTGGGATGTAGGATCGCATTTCGAACAAAGTCTGATATAGAGATCATGGATGATGGATTTAGATGGAGAAAATATGGAAAGAAGATGGTTAAAAACAGCCCCAATCCAAGGTAAATATATATACACATTTTAGCTAATTAATTACTCTTCGATGTCTATCATTTTAAGTGCTTCATCTATGTTGATCATGTAAGTGAGAAAACTACATGCAATCAATCAATCTTCAATTGTCAAGTAGATTTGATCAGCCTTTCTACTATTTTCATAGCATCATCATCTATCTATTCAGTAATTACTAAAACTTTTGTTATTTCAGTAATGCTACATGCAAAAAATAAAATAAAATTAATGAATCAATTTAAATTTAATACTTAAAAGAAAAATCTGAATCACACATTAATTTTTCTATACACTTTTCTTTTGCACTTAAAAATTGAATCACTTGTTGACTTGCAACTTTTGCCCCCAATTGAGGCTTTTATTTACCTATAAAATCTTGGTGGGTTCAAATCTACGGATCTATGAGAGGATTCAGGTGATAGGAGCATACCCTGGATAAAAAGTGCTATCATGGTTGTTGTAATATAAAGATTATTATTTTTTTTTGGCCCACAGAAAAAGGAAACTCTTTGGGGTCATCATTGCTTCCGCAAGCTATGACTCCAAGATAATTAGTTGTCAGTCAAATTTAATCTAATTCATAAGAAGGAATTTCAACCAGGGCACTGATGGGTGCTAATTACCTTTTCACAATAGGCGTCCCATGCTATTATATGATAGGAGTACAATGTGTCTGCAGACACACCCCCCGAGTGTCGATCCAAGACCTCTTGCTAGGTCAGGGATTGGCTTACCATTAGGCCACCATCACCGATGATTAAATTATAAAGACGATCATCATCATATATATATATATATATATAAAAGTCAAATTTGGATTCTCAAGTTCATTTCACAAAAAGCAACCTCATTAATTATTTAAGAATATGGATGAGATAAAAAGAATATGTGGATGTGATTAATTAATATGTATATGCATATTTTAGTGTACTGTTTGAAAGGTATTCCCAACATGTACCTGGGCATGCCTGTAATTATGAGCTTTTTACTGTGATAAAATCAAGAGTTACTATATTATTTCGTATTAATTGATTCTCAAGTTCATTTCACAAAAAGCAACCTCATTAATTATTTAAGAATATGGATGAGATAAAAAGAATATGTGGATGTGATTAATTAATATGTATATGCATATTTTAGTGTACTGTTTGAAAGGTATTCCCAACATGTACCTGGGCATGCCTGTAATTATGGTCTTGGTAATCATTGCCAAGTCCTATAATAGTGGAACTCTTCCACCATGTTCTAAAATTAACCCATTTTAATTCATCTTACGTATGTTTTTTATTAAATTAATCATTTTTAATTTATGCTATGTAATTTTTAAATTAATCCGTTGGAAGGCGGGGCCGATTTTACAAGTTAAAGAAATGATTAGGTGCTAATTATGAAGTTTTACTTATCTTCGGTAATTGGATATTCGGTCTAATTTTTTATGAGATGGTAGATCCCATAGCACGTATTGAACATTTAATCTAATTTTTTGTTAAAAGACTAGTCCGATAGCCAACCTGGTTGGGATTTTGATGTACCACTGTGATTCTTTTTGCACCCTCCTCTTTATTGATGTACTTTTACATACTACGTATGTTTTTCCATCAATAAAACTTCTTTTTGCTGATAAAAAAAAAGAGTAGTCCGATAACACAAGTATGCTATCGAACCCTTTGGCTCTCTCATTGAAAAAACTAGATTCAATGTCCAACTAATTGAAGCTAACTATGTACATAGACTATATTTGTTCAATCCATCTCACCAGGTGATTGCCAAATTGCCTGTGAGACATGAATGCTCTTGTTCACCATCGCAAGCAAGCTCTAGGTAATGTATTACCATTGGAAGTTTTGCAACTAGGGTTCACCACATGTGCTTATGTTTTGCAGTAGAAGCACTAACAAGTATGCCGCTTGTTACATTTCTTCAAAAATGATTGAATTCAAAAATTATATTTATACAAAATTTTTAAAAAGAATGATGTGATAGTGACATTTGTGAAAATATAAACTAACCGGATGAGCTTTTTACTGTGATAAAATCAAGAGTTACTACATTATTTCGTATTAATTTTTTATATAACTCTTTTGTTTGTATATCACTACTCACACTAAATCTCGAGACATGTTGATGTGAGTAGTTCGAGACACTTGAATCTTAAAACATGAGTTAATGATTAAGAATGTATTAAAAAAAAAAAAAAAATTAAGACAGAAGATCTTGTGCTTTTAACTTGTATGTGATGATCAATTAACTTGCACTTTATATTGGGGGGGGTGAAAAACAGGAACTACTACAGGTGTTCAACACAAGGGTGCAATGTGAAGAAGAGAGTAGAAAGAGACGGAGAAGACTCAAGCTATGTGATTACTACATATGAAGGGATCCACAACCATGAAAGCCCTTCCATGGTTTATTGCAACCAAATGCCCCTCTCATTTCCCACTACTACTGCATGGACTTTGCAACCTTCACACTTCTCTTCAATATGAAGAACATATAACGTCGCTTTATTTTCTTATTTTTATGATACATCAGACGTCGTAATTAATAAAAGGAAAAAATTATCTATGACAAGACTTGTACTCTAGATCTTTAAGAATTCTGTTCAATTAAACTAATCTCAGTTGATTAGCACTATGTATTTTCTTTATCTATAATTGTTATTGTCAATTAATATTTTATTTTTATTTTTTAATTATCGTTTTTCGGATTTAAGATGAGGAAGACTGATGAAGAGAAATCATTTGGGACATAAAAATATGTAATTGTTCAAAATATTGAGAGACCAAATAAATAGAATAAATATATTTCAAATAAAAGGAGCATCTTCAATCAGTTGAGTTGTTTGCAGTTGGGTATTTTTGGCTTTTTCAGATCGACTTTTTTTTTTTAATAATTTTTTTTTAAATTAAGTGAAAATATTTTTACTTTTTAGAGCCGGCTCAAATAGATGATATAGATGATATTAAAAATTATATATATATATATATTGAAAAAGTTCCAAAGGAAACAAAAATAAGCATAGTTTTAATTTTTTAAAAATAAATTTTGACTTGTTTTCATCTTTAATAAACTTTTTTTTAAGTTGGCTCAATTTTGTTATTTTCTTTTCATTTTTTTTAAAAATCCAATCTACTCCATCAAAACTTACTATCATCACCAACATCATTATTTCTTTTCCCCTCTCTCTCTCTCTCTCTCTCTCTCTACAAACCCACAAACCTTCCTTGTATGTAAACAAAAGGAATAACACTACTGAGAAACCTACTCAAAGGTTTTTGAAGGGTTTTTTTGGTCAAAATTATAGAATAAATCGTATTGATAAAAGATGGAAAAACCATCAAAAACGACAAAAACATCTTTCTCCAAAGAGGAGTAATAGCCAAAAAGGAGGTCTGAACTTCCATGTAAGAGTACCAGACAAACTCACCCAATGTCTTGCCAAATAATGTGCTACACCATTAATCCATACTTGATTTTTTGAGTATAAAAACAATTCTTTCATTGTTGTTTAGACTTTTAGATCCTAACAAAGTCAAAATATTCCGATTTGAAAGTCCAAACCAAACAATATTGTTCAATATTGTAAGTTTGAACATGGTGACTTTATTCTTATTTGGGTGTACCTTAAACGATAATTTAAAAAAAATATAAGGCGTACTGAGAGTAACATAAAATATTAAATAATTAAAATGTACTGAGAATTGTGAGTATTTAATAATTTTTTTAGTGTAAATAGAATCCTCCCTCAATTTTTTTTAGTTGAGACAGGCTAAAGAGACTTCAACATTGTTATAGGATATTTCTGCAATAATATGTAGATCTGTCAAAAAAAGAAAAAAAAAAGTCTAAAAAAAGAAAAAAAAATCTAAAAAAAGAAAAAAAAAAAAAAAGGGCCCAACTTCACCTGAAAACTTAAAAGCCTAACAACAACAGCGGAGTGACCTCTGGGGTTAGACTCTAAGGAGTCAAGACCCTAGAAATCACTCTTCGGTGGTACTATATAATAGAGTCATTCAATCATATACACTTTAGAAGTCACCCGCTATATAACAGGCTGATTCAATCATATAGCGATAAGTCGCGAACTAACACATAGATGAGAATTTGAATCCATACTTCTAACACTTGGTACGGCTCGTCTAGGCCTGGAAGGTTTGTCCTATCAATCGTATGTGCTGTCACCCAAATGACTGATCAAAACTTATATTTCAAGGCCTTACAAAGTGCCACAACTTCTTGAGTTATCTGAAAATTTCGTTCCTTATAACTAGTTCTTCAGTAGATATATCTCAAATCAGATTTCAATGGTAAAAATGAGGTATTATTATTATTATTATAGGTAAACGAGGCCTTATTATTGACGTATTGGCAAAAGAGTACAAAAAAAAAATAATACAACGCAAATCCATCAACAAAGAAAAGGCCGCCAAGAAAATGCAAAAGTTATATTTTGTTAAAAAAAAATACAAATTAAAAAATTATTGTATCGACTACTGTGAATAGTTGATAAAATAATTAACCAAGCAACCCAGCAAGTTTTAAAAAGTGATGATTGGTTGTTTTGGTAAGAAAAATGCTTGGGAGCATTAATTAGTGCTCCCACTAATTAGGTGGCAGTGGATCCCGCCATTAATGATGTGATGTTTTGATCTTGGAGTTGTATTTTTTTTTATTTTTTTTTTACTTTTTTAATGCATTAGTGCTATTAGTAGTGATGTTTTTAGTGGGATGAATCATTGTTGTTTTGGTAAACATGTTTTGCTAATTACAAAAGAAAAAATTTATTAAAAATAAATTAAATATTCTTTTTAAAATTTTACACCTATTTCTGTAAAAAAAAATAATAATTAAAATAGTTAATTTTCAAGAATAGGATAAAAACTAAATATTTGTTTCAAGAATAGGATAAAAACTAATTAAAATAAAAAACTAAATATTTGTTTCATTTATTTTAACTTTTTTGGCCAGCAATGAAGTCAACAAGTACAAGTCAAGCGCTTCATAGCCTAGAAATTCCTTGCAATTATAGTAGCTTTACATGTGGAAACCCCACATAATAAATAATTCGGATCTGTTTGGAATAATGCAATATGTGACAACTTATCTTTTTTTTTTTTTTTGGTGGGGTACTTCTTGTATACATTGCATGGATGGTACTCTTCATTTTAAAAAAAGACATTTTGATATTGTAGCTAGCCATAAGATCCTCTCAATTAAAAGCTTCCATTACATATTTAAGGATTACGAATTATTCATGTCAACAGTTGTACTGACTCTGTTTTTTCTATATACTTAATTGGAATAGAGATAAATTTACTGAAATTTAAAAAAAATAAAAATTCTAAAACTCAACATGGAGAAACTAACAATCAGGAACATTTTAATGAACGAATTTAACATCACAAGTGAATCCATACCGTGTAAGTAATAATTCCACAATACAAAAAGAAGATTTCATCAAAACTTACAAAATTTGTTAAAATCCCATCGGCCTCTGGCCGTTCACCAACCACGTTTTCTTGGGAAGTCTCTAGTTCTCTTCCTAAAGCGAGTGAAAACAATAACCACACAAGCCAGGACCCATGGAGGAATTCTCCCACCTGATAAGTATAATTTTTGCATCCATTCTGGATTTTCCTTCATGACAAATATTATCGTGAAGGTTATAAATGCGACCCCTATCAAGATCTTCGTAATGGGTTTAAGTAGAGAGTCCTGAAAATCAAAAAAATGTAAATAGGATGAAATGCATGCAATAAATTAATTACGTAAGTAAGCAAAGCAGAAAGATTGGGGATATATACAAAACTATGTCAAGGAATTTGAAGCAGTTTGAATTTTTTTGGAAATAACTAGACAAACACACTTGTGGAATAGAAAGCTATAATGAAATGAATTTGGAATCAGGAGATGTTAGATCCTTGATCAACATCATGCAATAGTTTTTCACAGCAACCCCATTGGACCAAATAATTAAAATGCAATAGTTTTTCACAGCAACCCCATTGGACCAAATAATTAAAATAAAAAAAAAGCAATGAATTTTTTTTTTTTCTTCTTAGAAAACAAATTTTCAAACATTTTAAACATAAAAATCAGTCATGCAACTATAACTTGGTTTACTTGCAAGTTTGATATACTAGCATGCATAAAGGTGTTACATTAAGAAACATTATCCTCTTATACTTCAACATTGTTATAGGATATTTCTGCAATAATATGTAGATTATATCAACTTGTTAACAAGGGCAAATAAAAGATTAAGAGAAAAGGACAAAAACAAAATCTAAGATGCAGCAAAATTAAAGGCTATGGAACCAAAACTAGAAAGGCAATCAATCCTTTTGATCCCAATGTTTATTCTCTTGACAGAGGAAATTTTTTTATCCCATCATAATGCGTCAAATCTTAAGCACAACCAAAAAAACAATTAATGCATTGGAATGATAACAAACATGAACTAACTAGGTAGAAGACCACGGCGCAAGGAGAAATGCCCTTATTGTCATTGCAGCAAAGTGCGATTACTCTAAATATAAACTACCTACCCCAAGTGCGTATATACATACTGAATGTAAGTACAGTGTAAGTATCCCTGAAAGGGATGTTCCTAAAGAGCCAGTATATCTTGCAGCTGAGGTCACTACAAAAGCCAACCACAATGAAGTTTTCTGACAATGAAGCATTATTGAAATAAAGATGCCTCAAATAGATACATTATATAATCTCATGTAGGTGTACATGTGCCTAGCTGCCACGACATCCCCATATTGGCATCTCCTATGAACATAGGGCCATGCGTTAGCATTGTGAGGTGACACATGGGTCAACAAGTCATCTCCGCATGATACCCTGTGTGGACGAGCTATATCATCCAAGAATTGTGTACATGTTGCCCTAGCATTGATCTTAAGAAGAAGAGGGTTCCCTCAGGCTGCTCTGATGGAGTGGAGCCTCCAAGCTGGGAGACCTTTACAGCATCCCTTGACTTGGCCAAGAATTCCCCCTCCTCATAATTTACACACTCATGTCTCCTCTGTTTGATCGAACAATTCTCCAACCAAGCATGTCCCCTCTACTTGTTCCTCCAAAGGAAAAGGTGCACCCATTATCCAGCCAAGCATACTCTCCCTCCATAGCACACATGCAGCCTGCCTAGCTCGCCTAGACAACCCCCATAAAATGGTACCTTGATCGCCTACATTCTTGGTCTCTAGAAGAGTGCCTTGGCCTAGGTACCCCCACTCAAGATCACCAGAGGATGCATTGCTAAGAGGCTAGAGGTATGGGTTCGTCAAAGTACCTTTCCATAGTTTGAGAGGTTTTGACCAAGATATGTGATTACTCAAAGAAAGTATTAAACCTACCACTGCGGTGTTATAGCGTGTTCCGCAAGATTTATGATACCTATGAACCGCATTCCCTTATGCCATAGGCATAGTTGGTAGGTGGAGTAAGGGGTTGAACCACCTGTCCATGGATAAGTTGTCTCCTATAATTCGACCCTCCTATATAAGGAAGCTTTCATGCATACAGAAGAGGGTCTTGTTCTACAAACACTTCCTATTTTCGGCCAGAGCAAGATATCTCCATTCTCTCTCTCTCTCTCAGAGGTTATCTTAGCTTTCACTTCTTCAAGGTCCCATGACATCTCAGTGCCTACTATCTTTCCAGGAGGCTATCCCTCGCCGCCACAACATTGCACCACCATCAACAACACACAACTTAGAATGAACAGAAAATTTCGAAGGATCCCTTGATGACCACAGCAGTTATCTCAGTTACAGGACAAAAACACATACCAATCCAAAAGGAATAGTGAAATTTGGCAATCCTAAACAAGATATACATTAGCTTTTTTCTTCAAATTTCTCTCCCAAATTGTCTTCCAGAATTCTAACTATGTCGTATTAAATTCACCAAAACAGTTGATAGCTCAAAAAACAAAGCCAACCCACAATTTAAATCTAAACAAAATTACCATTCACCACATGAATTATAGTTTCCCTTCATTGCAATTTTTTATTTTGATGTTCAAAATTGTTGCAAAATGAAAAATTTTCATTTTCATGCTTCATGAACAATCTCAAATAATACTCAAAATCACCACTCATCTATATAAATCCACAAATACAAATATATCTGTTCTGTGAATGTGTATTATGTACCTTGGGTTCACCATCGATGAAAATTACGGATCCATCGTTGTAGGGCAACACAGATCGGCCATTCCTCGGGTTGAACCGGATCGGAGCTCCGCGACCCGTCTGGGGGTTGAAGGCGAAGACCGATTTGAAGCCGTATTTGTCGAGTATGTCACCGATTTCAAGCTGGTTCTGGTCCCAACCGCCCAGACCCGACTTGAATACGTCGATCGGACCTTTGCCTCGCCGGTAGAGGTGGACCTCCACCTCCGGGACCTTGGTCCGCACCGTCCTCGTCCTGGGAGGGTTTGGTAATAGCAGCGAAGACTCGTCGGAATCAGCGGCGGCGGCGGTGGTGGTGGGAGCATCGCCGCCGTCGTCGGTGGTTGCTTCTTCGATCTCTGCGGCGGCGTAGTTCTCTTTCTCCATGGTGTTCCGCTCCAGTTCTGTCCTGAGTCAATCATTTATTATGGAGTTATTTAGGCTTGGTTTTGCATAACCTATATAATCCATCTTTTTATCTTTTTATCTTTTTTTCATCACATCATCTCTCTACTTTTCTGCACATCATTTCGTAAAAAGACAAAAAATACACTTTTTTAGGACACCCAAATCAACCCTTACACTAAGACCTCTAACTTGTTGTAAATTATTACTTGATTTCTTAAATTATAAAAAATTATAAATAAATTTCTTAAATTATTAAGAAATTTTGTTTTGTCCTCTAAATTATAAAATTGTATAAATCGTGCCATTAAAAAAATGAGTTAAAATAAAACATATCAATAATTTAAAGACCTATTTATATATTTTTATAATTTATAAGGTCAAAATAATAATTCTTAATAATTTAGAGAGCTTACATTAAATTGCGAATTTTCAATAATTTAGGAGGTTAAAAGCTTTGCCTCATCATCTTCGAACGCACAAAATCCTGCTATGTCATCATATAAGGGTATGCAGTGTATGGATACCACACGACGTAAATTTTTTTTAGGTTCAACTCAATGAAGGTGATTCTTTTTTATGGGTTAGCTTATTGCGTAATTTTAGAACAATTTTAACAAGAAGGTAAATTGATTATTTTAGGTATTTTTAATAAAAAATTTATTTTATGTCCCTAATAGACTTTGTATCATAAAAAATATTAGACAACATAATATTTAGTTCATAAAAATTTGAGAATAAAATTTAAGGTCTTAACTTCGAATCACTGTAATGAACCATTGAAAATATGCCTGGTCAAAATGTATGTTACTTAATCCAAACAATGAATTATAAAAAAAAAAATAAAATTAGAAGAAAGCTACTCCAAAAAAGAAAAGAAACGAAAAAAGATTAAAAGAAAATAATTGATAGCACAAAAGTAGTTAAGGACACGAGAATATTATTAATTAGAAAATATATGAAAGAGAAATTATCGGAAGAAAAAGAAAAATCTATTTTGTTGATCTACAAAAATGTTAGAGATTTCAAAAATTCTATCAAATACCTACATAAGTGTGGAACCTACTCCCACGTGAGTATATTTTGTAAATTTTTTGATAGCATTTTTGGTATCCCTACCATTGTTGTTTTAACTAAGAGTTATGCAAGGAATACAGAGATCAACCACAAAATGTGACACATATTTTACAAAACATGAGTCTTATACGTAGGTCTCACATCATGTAAATCTCACCTTTATTGTTTATCTAATTGACAATCGAAGACATTTAATTGTTGGAGATTAGGGATGAAGAGACAATCAGAGGCATTTAATTGTTGGAAATTAGGGAGAACGAGACAATCAATATAACCTTCGCTTTAGGACACTTGTTAGCATTTATTTTATTTGGAGTAATTATTAAATTTTTTTCAAACTGTTATGTTAATGGTATATCTATCCAATAATAAGAAGTTATGTATTAACAAATTTTAAAAAATATAAATTATTTGAAAAAATCAATAAACACCATATTGGTTGGACACAAATGTGAAGAAAAAATAATTCATAATTTAGAAATCAAAGAGATAGAATATATATATATATATACACATATATATTATATTTTTCTTTTTAATTGTTTTGAAGCTGACACATGATAACTATTTATGAAATATATAAGCGTTGATTTTTGACCTCACAATCAAATTAGATTTTCAAGTCGAGATCTAAGGAACTTAGCCGTTGTAATGCCTCGAAATAATTAATATTAGCCCAACTCATACTAGTGACATAATCGATCAATAATCTCATATCTTCCATTCATTTTATCTTTGATCATTACAAAAGATGACGTGCAATATATATTCATAAATCCTAAATTTTGAATTTATAACATATGACATGGATAAAAGAGTATAAAGGAAATTAAAAATCAAATAAAGAAATTTCCTAATGACTTACAACTTTCCAGAATGATACTTGGTTACAATGGTTACAACAAAATGAGTTTGAACTCAATACAAGTAAAACCCGAGGCTTGAATAAAAATATTTATATCAAGAAACAAAAAGGGAGGCCTTAAGCTCTGAGTCCTTCCAAGCTATGTCCTTGGCGAAGGCATATCATCAGCACCTAAAAATTGTTTTCCACATAGGGTGAGCCAAAGCCCAGTAGGAATACTCTAACACGGTATATGAATCTTAGCAAAATTATAAGGTGAATGCACAATACATGCCATTTTTCAAACATTTCTTGTTTTTCCATCTTAGAATAATGCAATGCCAGATTATATATCAATTCATGAAAATAATCTTTTTATATAGAAAACAGGGTAGTGGATACAATACACTGGGAATCTGTAGGTACGTGTCTGTTAGTAGGCTATACAAGCACTACCAAGGCCATTTTACTGGTACTAACCGGAAGGATCGACACCTAACTGCGTGGGTTTCTAGATTTTTATCAAGGACATACAGGCCAACATAATAATCACAACCAACCCCCTAACTAGATTCACCAAGATATTCACCACTTTTTTCAAAAACCAATACATTTACAATGTTCAATGTATAATGATGCACAATGCACAATGGATGAGAAATTAGTTTCAATTCAACCTAATTCTCATGCAATGTCTACAACAAACAAGACTATCCTTCACCGATAGCCCAAAACAGATATTTTTATTCAATAGATAAATTTCAATCAAAAGATACATTTCCGTCAATTACAATGGGAGTGATATTACATATCCAACTCCACCATCATCATCAATATAACCATTATTCAAATTCCACAATATCCAACATCATTTTCTATTTTCCTTTTCACAATTTCAAATATCCAAAAGTAGGGCAAACCCCTTTTTCTTTCAAAATCAATTTTGAGAAAAGATTTCCACCGTTTCAACACAACTCATCCACAACCATATTCCTACAACCATTTTCAAGAATCAACTTGGAAAACCCCTATTTTAATTTCAAACCAAACCCTAGGTTTTACCAAAAATTCCCAATAAATAACCATTTTCAAAGAGTAAATAACTAAGCTAAAAATCATATAAACGAGTCAAAGAAATCTCTAAAGTAGAAGACACGAAGAAAAGATGGGTAGAACTTGACGGTGTCAAAAACACTAGATGCTTTGATTAAATGAAGCCCTCAGCGTGCTCAACATTTTTCTCCAAAGGAATAGGGTGAGGAAACTCACAGATTGAGAGTATTTGGAGCTAAAGTTCAAGAACTAAATACAGAGAGAGAGAGAGTAGAACTAGGGTTTTGGAATGTTTATAGAGAGAAAGAGATGAAAAAGTAACTAAAAAGGCTAAAAGTCAATTGATATGGTGAATTATTAAAATTAGTGGATGGTTGTTTCTTAAATGCATGGATTACGTATAGAATGTGATTAATTATACCAATTACAGTTGTTTATGAGAAAATAAACTTCTCTAATTTAAAGTTAATTAAAGCTTACATTCGGTCAATTATGTCACAAGAAATATTTAATGTATTAACAACTTAATTCATTGAAAATGATTTAGTTAATTAATTGAATTATGCAAATTCAATTAGTAATTTTGCAGTTAAAAATACAAGTGAAAAATCTAGTTTTATCAAAAAATCCTTTTGAAAATCTTGATTTGTCTTTTGATAAGTGATTGTCGATTTAGACAATCTAAATTAAAAATTATACTACCATGATCAATGTAGATAAAATACAGCAAGAGATAATCATCCATAACAAAAAAGATTTTTACATTGAAAAATCACAATTGGAATCCACCAACTTGTGATAAAAAACCATGGGCCCTCAGCCAAGCGAACAATCCATCATGAAAGAAAAGAGTACAAGAGATATCTTACAAAGGCCACTTCAGGCTCATGTGTTTGCTCAACCTATGAGTCACTCTTCTTCCCTCACTGGATCTCCGCAACGGATGTCGAATCACTACGACGCCAACGACTTCAGAATCCACTGATGTCTACAATCTTGGAATCCACTAAGAAGGTTCACAATTGAAAAATTGTTATGTTTTGTTTGATATAGATTGTGTAAATGTGTTAATTGCTAAAAAGGAGAGTAAACCATGATATTGGGATTTTTTTGGGATAATTATGTTGTGTTGAGTTAAGTTAGGGTATGGTTTTGATATCCGTCGATTTGGTTTTGCGAAATGAAGGGAATGAATTTTTGGATAAAGATTGGAGTATTGTAACTTGGAAAATAAGAAAATTGATTTTGGAAAGAAAAAGAAATCATAACTCTTTGTAAGTTAAGAATGAATACGAGAACTATTATATTACATGTATTAAATACATATGTTTAGAGGTTTTGTTATTAGTTATCGGTGGAGGATGACACTGTTGTGTTGAACAGATTATATAGCACTTTGGGTTTTTTTTATCGCTCGAGCGATGGATTGGTTGCTTGAGGGGTCTTTCGAGTCTTCTAGTACTTTTGCAGGTCTGTGACTCTGAGAGTTGTTGATGTTCGCTCGAGTGCAAGTTTGATCGCTCGAGCGGTCTGCCTTGTGTGGTCTAAAGTTTTGAGAGTTCACATTCTTAGCTCGAGCACAAGTTTCATTGCTCGAGCAGTCTGTCCGAAAACAGTAGCTATAAAAGTCACTTTTGGTCACTTTTGGGTCATTATCCTCTATTGTTGAGCTCCCAAGCTCCTTATACTTGGTTTTCATATACTTTTACCCATCTTTGACCCATAGTCCTTTAGACCAAAACGTAGAGGGTCGCGAGAGCTTCATTTGAATCTGAGCGGATCGTGTTTTTGCCGCCGTGGATTGTTTGGCTTTCTCCTCGTCGCTTCAAGAGGTAGGGATTCCTCTGTTCATCTTCAATACCTTGTCTATAGATAGACATGTGGTAGATCTTATTGTATAAAAAGCATGTTTATTAGAAGTTTTCGAAAAGCATGTAAAGGGGATCTAGGATTGGAAATGTTTGGGTTGAAATTGTAAAATTGATGGTAGTTTGGGGTAATTGGGGAGTAGTCCAACATATTTATGTTGAAAGGAAGAGAAAAACCTA